ACACTTTCTACCCGCCGCTGTCTGCACGGCCTGCAGCTACAGAAGGACAAGTCAGCGGCAGCGGTGATAAAACGGCCTCCCTTAACTAAACTCGTAAAGCACAAGGCGATAAAACTCAATCTTCTGTAAAATCCAATTAAGTCATTATCTGACTGATTGTATCTTTAATTGAAAACAGAAGTGACAGTAAATTTCAGTGATATATCAGGATCAATCGATACTGCCGTACAATCTGGTCTCAAGAGGTGATTTATAATGTCAAAGCCTTATAGGTAACTCCACATTCTTCTCTCTAAAACCACTGGTGGATGAAATTAAGAGTAAGTGCGTTTCATAAAAAAACAAGACGGTCATGTTATTGATTGCAGCAGATGGGCCAGAATCCAATGAACACGGTGCTGGAAAAGAAAATACAAGTAATTTTCTTTGTCTGGTTTTATGTTGTCCCCAGGACGACTTCACATTTACACTTCATCACTTCGCAGCGTTTTTATTCCACTAAAACTTGTAGCGACGAAAACATGAAAGCTCCAAATGACGTCAACGCGTTGGAAATGAATCCTAATAATTTAGACTGGAAGAGAAAAATCCCACTTAGATCCACTTCAAGTAATCCAAGAAAAAAAAACTAAAACCTTCAGATTATATTCAGTGGTTTAATTAGGACCTCTTGTTAAAATAAATGAAAGTGTTACTTTCTCAAATTACTCTCTTATAACTGCTGAAATAAACTTAAATATAATTTGTACAGTGGAAACCAGCTGAGCTCTAAACGTGTTTTCTTTTGAGTGTTTTTGATATAATATGAACAAAAGCTTGAATATGCTGATTTTCTGCAAGTAATATGAAGTTTTTGGACAAAATAATTTACATGCTCTAGTAGTAATGATTAAATCTTGCTGTTTTATTGTGTTTGTGTATCTTTGAGAAAGTGATAAAAAAGAGCAACAGAAGTGAGCAGAGGAAACGGAAGTGCTGTGTAAACAAACTACTCCCTTCAAAATAAGAGCACGCATTTAAACGTCCAGCCACTTGAAGGTTCCTGAACTGAACCAAAACCTTCAAAATAAATGGAGACATTGTTCAACTAAAAGTTTACAAAACAATCAAGCAAATCAGTGCTCCAGAATTTTTCGGCGAAACATTTTAAAAGTTAGCTGAAGTGAAAGATGATCCCCTTCTGCCACCTGCAGAAATATTTCTGCTTCCAATAACTTAAAGCCCTTGTTCACCAGCAGCTGCTCGGTTGGACTGGTTTTCCTTTGAGTGCTTGGTTTACTAGTTTATCTCCACAACGTTCATCAGACAATAGCTGCATGCTAACTGCCTGCTTGGGAATTAAGACATAAATGTAAACGTGAGGTTTAACTGTAATTCAAACCGTCTGCTTTGCTCAGATGAGACCAAGTTTGAGATTTTCTGCAACAAACACTGCAGGTGAATTTGGAGGAATAAAAATGAAAAATTATAGTGTTGTGACTTCGTGAAGGCAAAGCTTCAGAAGACTTTTTAAAGAAACAGATGCCCAATTTCAAGACGTTAAACCAGGAAGTCAAATTCCTTTTAAGTCATATTTGGTATATTTAGCATTTCTACAACTGAAGGGAACATAGTTACTCAATCGTGCCATAAAATGACACCATGTGCCTGGAAAACATGATACTGCCTCTTTGAGAATGATGGAGGAATCTGGAAAACTCATTAAATAACTGAAAACTGGCCAAATCAAAAAATCAACCGTAATTCCACATGAGCAAAAAGTGACTGAAGAAAGTATAAAAAGTTCAAACTGCTCTTCAAGTGAAGATTTTTTAAGATTTGAGATTTAAAAATGTTCAGATAAATTCTACCAATACATTAAAAGACGAATGTTTTCTAAAGCTGTTTACACAAGCTAACATGTTAGCAATGTTTCAAATGTAAACCATTCATAAAGTGGTGAAATGTTTTCACTGGTTTGCTAAAATTAAAGAAAAAAAAAATCCTTATTTTAAATATATTTTCCAAAGTTTTCAGCCAGCTGTGAGGCGCTTCTCCACACATGTTGTGTTATTGAGCGATGCTTCAGCTCTCTCTACAAGGTCGTCCCAAAGTGGGTAAAAAATTGTAAACAATGACCCGCGTGCAGCACCAACACCTCTGCTGAGAAGGGGTTAAATATACAATACACATGCAAATCCATAGGAATAAATGAGGCCATAAATAAGCATCCGGCGCTAATCTGACACACACACACACACACACACACCCACACACACACACACACACACACACACACACACACACCACACACACACACACACACACACACACACACTGATAGAGAAGAGCAAGGTGATTTAAGACCTGCCGCTTCACTCTTTTTAAACCTGGAGACAAACATTTCTGAGCCAGAAAAACAACTTGAACTGCTTCTCAACATTTATCACGCTGCTGCTCAGAAAAAAAATCTAAAATTTTTGTGCAAAATTAATAAAAATGTAAATGAATTTCACAGATGTGAGATTAATGAGATTTATTTGCATCTGATGTGATTCTGTTGGAATAACAACATCGTGTCTGATTGAGAAAAATCAAAATATATATCAGAAAGGGAACATACAGTAAGATCCAGTGGCAACTAGAGGCTGATTGGCAAATTACAACAAAAAAAAAAACAAAAAAAACTCCCTTCCAAACCGTTCAGAGAAATTAAGACAAATCTTGTTTATTATAAAATGAAAATAAGTGGAAAACTGGTCAACAAAGCAAAAAAACAAAAACAAAAAACAATAATCCTTAAACAGAGAGAATTAACCAACTGGATTAGAAAAAATACACCAAAGTAAAAGTTGCATTATTTATATTGTGTAAAATGTGAGATTAATGCAAACAATAAGTCAAATTAACCAAATCTCATTATGTAATTGAAAGAAAAAACCTTGATTCCAGTGTTTCAGGATGGAGTTTATCAAAAAATACAAACTTGACCAATATAGTGACCCTAAAGTCTACACACCTGTTAAAGTCCCAGGTCTGTCGGAAAAAATGATGAATCCTGTAACTTTTTCCACATGTAATGAAGCACTAAACCCTCAGAATTAAACCGGAAATTAATCTCTTGGAGGGGAAAAACTGTTCACATGCAGACGTGTCTTTACCATGTTTGGATTAGAGAAAACGTCTACACTGCAAAAACACAAAATCTTAACAAGGATTTTTGTCTAGCTTCAAATTCAAATATCTTAATGCACTAAAAATGAGGAAAAACTAATAAGTAACTATGCAGCAAGAAACATGAGCTGGTTTTGAATCAATAATTCCTTAATATTGATGAAAAAGGTCTAGCAATTTCACTTATGAAATGGTAACAATTACATGTTATAAATCACATAATCTGCCAAGTTTATGAAACAAGTTTACTTTTTAATCAATATTAAGGTCCTACTGACTAAAATCAGGCTCCTCTGTGTTATAAGACATTTGCATTAGGAAACAGATTTTGTGTTTTTGCAGTGTTTAGTTTTTCAGTGATAATAAATGTTCTTTAACTGAATTGAACACATATATTCCACCTGAAGGTGTAAAATGTTTTGAAATAATAATAATAATATGTCAAGGCGTAAGAGGTGTGTAAACTTTTGAGAGTACTGTATTTTATTTTGTATAATCTAATTCAATCTTGATTTTTTTTCTAATTAGGAATCATAAAAGAATAAAGTCAGTTTTTGGATGATTAACTCCCTTCAGTTACGAACAGAGACTCAGAGCAGAACAGAAATCAGGAACAAAAATCTGCTTTAACAGCTGAACAGTTTTCAGTTCAGGCGAGAACTTATCATGGCATTCTTCTTCTTCTTCTTCTGGTTTTTCTAGTTGCTGGTGTCGCCGCTGATGGTGTCGACGGTGAAGCCGGCCGCCTGGCCGCCGGCCTCGCACTCGGCCTTGTCGTCGTTTAGAACCAGAGCGCTCATGGAGCGGCAGGTCATGGTCGAGTCGTAGCTGGTGGGTGAAAACGCTGCGGGAAGAAACAGTCAGAGTTCACGTCCAGAACAAGTTTCACTTCAATATTACATATTTATTCAGATTGTCTGAGTTCATTTTCCGCTTGTAAAGTGTGGCTGGATAAACTGATATGCTTAGGCGATGGACCAGCCCAGTAGCTCCTAACATGAGCTCAGCAGGTGTTTGCTAATTGCTCACGGCTAGTCTGAAGGAGTGGGGGAGGAGCTGCGTCTAGAAGGCGGGGCTACGTCCACCCAGGTGTTTTGCCGTTGATATTTAGGAATTTGCATGAAAGAAAAACATTTAGGTTTTTAGTAAGACGACATTATGTGAAGTAAACCTAAAACAATTTTAAATAATCTTGAATCTTTTAAAATGCAGCAAATACCTTTTAATTTAAGCAAACTTTTATTTTGAAGGGGGATTTGTGAACTTTTCTATTATTTTTTGTTATAAAGCTTATTGCTGCATATATTTGTATTCTCCAAATCTACACCCGTTTGCTTTTTTTTAAAATATTTAAAATTATTACGTTTACAATAAAGAATAATGTCATTTTTATTAGCTACTTTATATTTACAGATAATCTGTGGTTTATTTTGAAGGATCCCTCTCAGATGACATAAATGAAATTCGTCCAGTCGTAGTAGCTTTTCCTGCTCTCCTCTCCTCAGCAGAGCTGGGAAGGAAAACAGGAGTAATTTTTCTCCTCATTAACTTCCTGATTGGTTTCGGACTCCGATTTTTGCTCGTCTGCAGTTTGTCACCAGTTCAGAACTGACAGCTCGATCGTTAACACTAATGTTGGAGTAGCTTTTGTTCCTCGGCGCTCTGTTTGTACAGCAGTAACAGCCGCGTGGTGAATTAGCACGCTCACTGTTAATTCTGCCTCCGTTCATCAGCAGGAAATCTACGACGCCATTAAAGGCCGGAACCGAGTGGACGCGTTCGTTTCCGCAGGGACGTTAAATCACGACACGTGTTCTTGGCATCGTTCGCCCGTCGTCTGCCCTGCTGCATAATTAAACCACTGAAACAGCAGAAAGCTTGTTCTCAATTAGCAGTGGAGGCCTGTTGGTTTACTAACCAATTGTCAGCTGATTGTTAGTATCTGCATGTTTATCTGTGTCTCACTTATTGCAGTGATCACATTCCACACGTTTTCAGGAGAAAAAGATCCAGCTTTCATTTGTCCGATCAGGGCATCCGATGATTTAAAGTCATTCTCTGTCATCTATTCAGTTTACTCTTAGAAAATGATGTTAATTCACAGAAAACAAACAACAGAATCTGTTTTTCTGAGAACATGGAGAACAGACTCTAGAAATAGTGAGTTCTCTGGATTCCTTCCAGTCAAATCATAACTCTTAATGACCGATTTCTCTAAGGATGCTTTCAAGCCTGATCGTCCAGTAGACTCTGTTTTATAGGGATCAAAATTTTTTGCATTTTCCCAAAGCTGTGAGTAAAACCAACCAAACCCTTTGAGCAGCCTGTTCCCCTCGTTGCCTGTAGGGGCGCTGCACCCAAAACCACTGAAGGAAGGCCACAAAAACCTCTGAAGAAGAGACTAAATACAACTTCCTTCTTCACGAAACGTAAACAATAATGGAGATTTTTGTGGCTGTAGGATTTTTCCCGTGAGCGCTAGTTAGCATGTTTGTCTTGGTGGATTTACCCAGAATTCCCTGTGCTTCCCTGTGTCGGAGCGGTCTCCGGTCTACTTGGCGCCAACATTCACAGCTGAATCGTTCACTGCAACCAAACCAAGTTTGCTTTTGTGGTCTGCGTCAGAGTTCGATTGTGAAGCTCCAGAAACGAACCCAACACGACGCCGGCGACCAGGAACAGACGACGGACGGCTGGTACGATGTGAAAACTTTGGAAAATTTGAGTGAATTTATCATCATAATGCATCAAAAATCTTTCTCTACCGGTAGAAATAGAAACATTTCTGAATGTGAAAGTGTCGAAACGTTGAGTGAAATGGAAATAAAACCTGAATGTATTGACTTACAAATCTGACAAAAAATTCAGGAGGCAGTTTGTAACAAGACAAACTTCACCTGAGAAAGTTTTGTTTCTGGAATGAACTTCTGCCCTTCTCGCAGTCACTCAGCACTAAATATATAAGGTTTCTAAACTATTAAACTGTCTTTGTGTGCACTAACAAAAGGAAGCTTTTTCAACCTCCCACTTGTCCTGTTGGGAAAAGGAGGGAGGGTTTCAATGAAGGTGCAATCATTTCTGCTGCTGCCAAAAAATGGGGGGGAACAAAAGCCCAGATGTGAGAGTAGATGGTAATTCAGTCTGATCCAGAGAGGATAAGTGCTCTGTGGCTTTCATACTCCACACTCACCACCCGTACCGATCCAACCAGATAACGCTTAAGTAAACACAGAAATCTGCCAACACACAAATCAAATATAACATATCCTAGTAGTGCTAAATATGAAGAGACAGTGAGGGAAATATCACTCCCTACTTCTGATTTTAGCTTTGAAAATAATCGATTTGCACTAAAGTGAGCAGAACTTATGGTCACACAAGTTAAGAATGGTGAAAATAAAAATAAAAAAACTTATAAAATGGTACGTTTTTGTAAGAAAAGCATTTAGTTTTCAATTTGCTTTTAGTTTGATTAATACATTTATTCTCCGGTTCTGAACAGGATCTGATTCTGTCCTGATAAAACATTTCTGTTATTGCAATAAGCGATTATATTGTTGTTCAAGTAAAATAAAGGTAATAATATGTAATAATGGTCTAATAACATTTAACACTGAAGCATTTTAAATATCCAAAATAAAGAAACAAAAACAAAAGAAAAAACAAATTAAATTGTAAAGTATCCCTAAAAATGGTTTAGTTGAACGTCAATCAGACTTTTATCATCCAGAAAATAGAAAACCAATAAGTGATGAAGAGGGAAATGAATGAGTTTGGTTTAATGTATCATGTGATTAATTTATTTTTTATATGTTTGAATCAGATAAAAGCTGATTTAGGTGCAAACTCAGCTTTTTATTGAAAGTATCCTGATAAACATTGTATTTATTGTGAAGTTAAACAAAGAAAAATATTCTGTGTTGTACTTAATATTTTTATTGTTAAGAAAATTATGTTGGAAATAATTTTACCCTTATTGCAAATAAAATGGATGAGTCAAATTGCAGCACAAATCCAGTGAAAGTGCCCCAAGTGGCCCCAGGGCCGCAGTTTGGACCCCCCTGATTCAGAGAAAGAAACTGTGAGACGTTCTGGAGGAGGCGGAAGAATCGCTCTTCACCTGTGTGAATGTGTGGGAGGCTTTCAGGGCCGGCAGCGTTTAGTGAGGCTGTTATGAAGGAGAAAAAATTAAATCGCAGGGATGAAGAGTTGCCTGTCACATGACAAGGTTGCCCTGAGATTAAATGGCTGCCATTAAAATGATACGAGGTGTGTCTAAAAAAAAAAAAAGCAGGCCCGGTCGGACCCATGTGTGTCCAGCTTGAAAAGATGGACGCTCCCGTCTGTGGCTGCTCATCACGCCATCGGAGCGGCTGCAGGACTTAATGGCCCAGAAAACGGAGCCAAAGAGCAGACGGGCGGCCGGGCTTTAAACAGCCGACGTTCAGGAGGCAGACCTTCACCCTGCAGGCCCAGATCGCTCACCACAACGACTACACACTGCGAACACACCGAACTCACCACAGTTTCTTCTAAAAATACCTTCATAAGCTTTAAATAAAACTCACTTTTCAGCAGAATACAGGAGCTTCAAAACTCAGTGATTCAAAATCATGTAATCATTTTTTTATTCAGTGGGTAGAAAATCCAGAAATTTTTCACCATTAAAATACTTCATAACAAAATTATTCAAGTAAATGTAAAAAGTACAGCGTAGTAAAAATACACCTAAAAGTAATTTTTTTACTGAACTTTTTTTTTTATCAATATTAATAAACTATTTACTTAAACTACTGTTTTTGTTAAAAAATTAATACAATATTTGCACAACAAACTAAACCAAAAAAACTTGGTAAGATATTTTTTTGCAGTTTTTTAGTCTATTTTCCTTTTAAAGTTTTTACAAACCAAAACTGATATCCGTTATGATTTTGTTTTTTACAATCCTTGCTGGGTTTTTCTGTGATAGAACAGAAGGTGGCTCGTAATCAGAGCATTGAAAGAAAAGAAAAAACAGTTTTTCAGATTATTTTATGCATAAAACTCTGAAAGGTGCGGTGTGGATTTTCCAGTGTCAATAAACATGGCCTCTGACCTTTTCCATGTGTAAATAAAAACAACCAGAGGTGATCCTTATATGAGTCTTACACATTTAGGAAACATGTTTTGCTCACAACTTTTCTTCTTTTTAAAATAAAAACTCTAAATATTTTTGTTTTGATCAGCAGAACTCTGATGCTTGAGCTGCTTCTAATTTTAAGCCACATCAAACACTCTAATCAGTGAACTAAACCGGGTCAATAAAAGCTTTTGCATTGCCATTATTTCGGACTATTCATTTTACTGTCTGCTGTTAAATCTTCCATAAATTTCTCTCTCCCTCGTCAAACTGAGAAGCATTGAGACAGTAGTTTAAAGGGACGGAGCCGCTTTTGAAGCAATTAAGATGCTTAAAGAAACACTTAGAGGCTCATTATTGGTTTGCAGTGGAGCCAATGTGAGTGGAGGACCGACCCAGTTTGACAGAAGGCATCAGGCGCAGAGGTCAAAGGCTAATTAAGCAGAGACGACCCTTTGCTCCTGCATTGTTAACCAATCTGTCCCCAGTGAGGACGACCGCCAGAAAGGCGTGACGCCGCCACCGTCTCCGCGCTAAATCTCCATTTCGGCTACTGTGCCCCATCAGCTCGCAAAATGGCACGTCGGACGGTCGCCGGCGTTCTGACGGGATTCACCAAGAGTTATGGATATGCAATAATGAGCTGAGGCGGCCGATCGATGTTTGCGTGACTTCTCTATCATTGCGCTTTAAACAAGAGATTAATTGTGAGTCGACAGCGTAAG